GCCCCTGCCCTCCACCAGGCGTCGTCACCCCACCGTGTTCCTCCTCTCCTCCCCGCAGGCATGATGGTCTACATCTCCATCAAGGAGCTCATCCCCACCGCGCTGCGCTACGACCCAAAAGATTCCCTGGCCACATCCTGCGTGGTGGCCGGCATGGTCGTCATGGCGGCCTCCCTCCTGCTCTTCACCATCTGAGCGAGGCCCCGGCAGCGAGGCCCCCCGGCTGTTGGCCCTTTTCCCCCTGAGGCGGCGGTCGCAGGGGGCGGCAGCGAGCCCCCTGCCCTGCGCCCTGTGTGGGCGGTTGGAGCTGGGGACGCCGCCTCGCTGCTGCTGCTCCTCGCCGCCCTCGGAGCCGGCCTCAGAGCCAACCTCTGAGCCTGACCGCCCCCCTGCTCATCAGTCACCCCCCGAGCCGCTAATGCGCCGCTCCCCCTTGCGTTCTCCCCCTGCTCTCCCCTTCCTGCCCCCGCTTTCCCGCCGCCACTGCCAGCCCCCCTGGTCCCCGCTGGAGGCAGCCAACAGCCCCAGCGCCCCGGGGCGCTGCCGCTCGCCGCGCCATGCCATCATGCCATCACAGCCACTCTGGATCGGCGCGTTGCTTTAGCGCCACGGCGCCGTTTCCGGGCATTCAGTGCACGACAGCAGCTGCCCCACACTCTCATCACCCTTTTAACCCCCTTGCACCAGTACCCCGAGTGTGCCTACATCCACCAATTTTCTCTGCAAGCATAGCGTCACCTGTTTTGCTCCCCCCAAAGCTCTCTGCATGCTTCCTATCATTTTGGCCGCAGTAGCTGGGCACGCACGCCGCCGCCTCTGGCTGCCCTGGCCATCCATCGATTGAAGTCGCCCTGGCGCACCCTCCCATCCAACATGGCCATGTTCAACTTCCCTGCTCTGTGCCCCAATTGCAAGCAATGCTTTTCAGCGCACCACACATATTGTCAGGTTTGAGCGCATGAATTCAAGCATGCAGCGGGCTCCGCCCCTTGCTCGCATCCTTCTGCCGTGCTGCCGCTACTCCCCCTTGCCTCGATTGTTTTGAACCCTGCACGGCCTGCTGTAATTCCCAAGCAGCTGAAGCTATCAATCAACACATTCTATGTTGAGAGGTTTCGGCCAAGCTGCACGCCGCCGCCATGTCGCCGTCCTACTTGGGCGCGCAGGCAACTGCGTAATGCAAGGATCTGGGCACTGCATCTCGCTCATCTGATTGATCGTTTGACTGCAGCCTGCAGTGGAGGCCGTTTTTCTGGGCGCACACCAAACTTTCGAGGGACACAAAGCAGCGGGGCGCCAGCAGGCGATCGGGGCACGCTCTATACGCCGGTGAACGACCTTGTAGGCAGCAAGGCCAGGGACGCCAGCCTCTCGCCCATTTGTTTGGCTGCCCATGCCTCTCCCGGCGTCCTGAGGGCTTTTGATGGCACGCGCGAGCGTCTCGGTGGCCAGAGAGGGCAGCCAGTGGGTGCTGCAGTTTGGCGCCCAGGCGCCGCCGCCCGGCGCCGCCGGCACCACCCTGCCGCTGCGCCAGAAGCAGCCGGTGGCCGAGGATGCCGTGGTTGTGACTGAGCTCGCGCTGCTGCCAGACGCCGCCGGCGCGGCTGCGGACGCCGCCAGGAGCAGCTTCCCAGGCGTAGACAGCCAGGGCAACCTTGTGCCCTACTTCCCAGACGGCGGCGGCCCCTCCAGCGGCGGCGGCGGCGGCAGCGGCACCACCGGCGGCGGCCACGGCGGCGGCACCAGCGGCGGCCTGCAGCCCGGCGCACCTGCGCCGTCAGCAGGGCCACAGCAGCAGCAGCAGCAGCGGGACGGGCAAGTGGCCGACATTGCAGCAGCAGGCGACACGCCGCAGGCGGGGCAGGTAGCCGCAGTGCCGCAGACCTCGACGCCGCTTCAGGCCGCTGCGACGACAGCCGCGCCGCCAGAAATAGCTGCTCCAACTGCCTCCGCGCCTGCAGCAGCTGCATCACTGGCAGCAGCAGGGGCAGCCCCCTCTGCTGAGACAGCATCGGAAGAAGCGGCGGCGGCGGCAGCAGCACGAGTGCAAGCGCCGTCCGCCGATGCAGCAGCAGCACCGGCTTCCCCAGCGGCCTCGCTGCGTGCCGCTGGGGGTGCGGGCACGGATGCAGCACACGCTCCTGAGCAGGCTGTTGCGTGGGCTGACGCAGCGATTGCGGCGGCGCTAAAGGCGGTGCCACGCAAGCACCCGCGCAAGGCCGGCATGCCGTCTCCAGAGCAGCGCAGCGCCAGCCCCACCCCCCAGCCCAGCCCCAGCCCGTCAGCTGGGCAACCAGTGGCACAGCCAGCAGCAGCAGCAGCAGCAGCAGCAGAATCAGAACCATCAGCAGCAGAAGAATCAGAAGCGGAAGCGGAAGCGGAGGCAGAGGCAGAAGAGGATGAGGCGGGGCAAAGTCGCGGCCAGGGCGGCACACCCGACCTGGCTGAGCCGATGAGCGAGGACGGCGTGAGCAGCAGTGGCGGGCTGGGCGGCGGCAGCGGCGGCATGTTTGGAGAAGAGGAAGAGGAGGGAGAGGAGGAGGAGGAGGAGGGGGAAGGCGCCACACAGCAGGACAAGTTTGACACACAGTAAGCTGCCTGCTGCGCCTGCGAAGCCTGCGTGCGCAGCTGCCGCACTTGTCGCTGGCGCCGAGCTCTGGGACTTCACCCTGCCGCGCCCCAGCCACAACCGTGTCCCTTTGTCCATGCATCTGCTTGCGTGTGTGCGCCTGCCCCCGCAGGTGCGCCCTGTGTGATGACGGCGGCAACCTGCTGGCCTGCGACGGCCCCTGCATGCGCAGCTTCCACGTCAGCGCAGAGTGAGCCGCCGCGCTGAGCTGGCGCCCGCTGAGCTGGCGCTCGCTGAGTTACAAGATTCACATTCACATTCGAGCGTCTCCGGCACGCCTGTCTGTGCACAATGAGCGCGCTTTTCCGAGGCAGCCGCCGCCATCCAGGCTGCCTGCCGGCTGTGGTCTTGCCCGCGGTACACCCCCTGTACTGCATCTGTACTGCTTCTGTCCTCTGCAGGGACGACGGCTGCAACCTGCTGTGCCTGCCGCCCGACCTGGCCCAGACCCTCACCTCCGCCGCCAACAGCGAGACCTTCCTGTGCCCCAACTGCCTGGCGGGCGTGCACCAGGTCAGCATCTTGTCTAGGTTGTGTTGCGCTGGGTTGGGTGGGAGGGTCCCTCCCTTGGGAGGGAGAAGGCAGGGAGGGGAGGGGAGGCATCTGCCACGCGCAACAGCACGGTTGGGTGCGAGGCAGGTGGGGGGGGCGAGGCAGGTGCTCAGGCCGGGTTGCCCATCTTCCTGCCACGCGGTGCATGGAGGCAGGTGCCCGGTCCGGGTGCCCCACCCCTTCTGCCCCGTTACTGCAGTGCTACGTGTGCAAGCGAGAGGGCAAGGCGGGCACCGAGGTGTTCAAGTGAGGGCCCCGCCACCTGCCCCTGCCCGACAGCCTGCTGCTTTTTGTTTTTTTGTGTGTTTTGCCAGCTCCGTGCCTGGAACACCAGGCATCCCACCGACTCGCCCTGCCCCTCCCTCGCCCCGCCCTCCCGCAGGTGCATCAACGCCTCCTGCGGCCGCCACTACCACCCCGAGTGTGCGGGGGCCGAGGCCGGCCAGCCCTTTGTCTGGTGGGTGCCTGCTACGCGCCCTCTTCTCCACCCCTCTCCCAGCTTCCTCTGTCGGCCCGTTCGCCAGCACAAGTGTGCCTGCCCGCTCCCACTGCTGCCTTTACCTTTACCGGTATCCTCCCTCCCTCCCTCCCTCCCTGCCTCCCTCCCTGTCGCAGCAAGCTGCACTCCTGCCACGCGTGCGGGCAGCCCGGCGACGCGTCGGCGCCCGGCCAGGCGGGCGAGCTGGTGCCGTGCCGGAGGTGCCCGGTCGCCTTCCACCGCCGCTGCCTGCCCATCGAGCTGCCGCGGCACCGCGACGGCGGCGCCAGCCTGGCGCGGGTGTGGCTGGCAGACTACGAAGATGAGTCGGGTGAGGGGGGTGGTGTGCTGGTGAGGGCGGTGTGGGGGTGCGGGTGTGGCACACAATGCATGCATGCTGAGGCGGCGGCGGCATGGGTAGGGGGCGCTGCGCCCGCTGTTCTACCCCTCCGGCTGAAGCTTTCCTTCGGGCGGGACAGTTGGATGTACAGTACCGCTGTACCGTTGTGCTCCCTGCCCTGCTCGCCCTCGAATAGGGCTGCCCCGCTCGCCACCCCCACCTCCTCCCAGCCCCCCATGCTGCCCACCAACTTCCGTGGCACACCCTGCGCTCGCCGCCTGCCCCGCCTTGCCTCCGCCTCGCTCCCCCCCGCCGCAGGCAAGTGGCTGGACGGCGTGGAGCAGTCGCTGCTGTACTGCCGCAACCACAGCCTGGGCGAGAATGGGCAGGCTCTGTTTCAGCTGCCGCGCCGGGACCGCGCGGGGCGCAAGCAGGCCAAGGCGCCGTACGTGCTGCTGCGCCCCGACCTGCTGAGGGCGGCGCTGGTGCACTACGCGGAGCAGCACCGCCACCTGGCATCCTCCCGCAGGCTGCTGGCAGAGGTGCGGCTGCCCGCTGCCGGCTTGTTCACATTACCCAAGGGCTAGCAAGCCCACGCCTTCCCCTATGCGGCCGGCATGCTGCCTCATGCCTGAGCCTCTTCCTGTGCGTGTGGCCTGCGCGGCGGTGTTTTTTTTTTGTGAGCGCGCCGCTGCTGCCCGCTGCCGCCGCGTGCGCAGGAGAAGGCGCGGCAGCGTGCGGCGGAGGAGCGGGCGCGTGCGGCGCGGGGGGGCTCGGAGGGACCGGGCTCCGAGAGCGAGGAGGATGAGCTGCTGGCGCACCGGGCGGTGAAGCGGCGGCGCCTGCGCAGGCTGGGAGAGTACGATTCTGAAGAGGAGGAGCCTCTGGCCAAGAAGCGGCGGC